TTGATGCTTAGATACTGGTTGTATTAGTTTGGTTATCTAGATGCTCATGACTTAGTGATACCCCGATGTCGGGATATTTTTCCGCACTTATGTTTTTATTTGTGTTTTACCCCGTATTTATGAAAAACTTCGGATATTTTAAATATCTTAATTCACTTCTGTTAAATTTTTGAAAGAGTCTTGGAAAGGTCGGCTTACCTAGTACTACGATAGGCGCCATCACGACGGGTTAGGTTTTGGGTCGTGACAGTAATCAAAAAAACGTGGGATGTTTGGCTTGAAGAAGCCACCATACCTTGTTATGATGTGGATGATCTCTTTGAAGATCTCTTGCTTGAATTAGATCAAAGAGAAGGAGATAAACGGGTGGTACGTGACAAACTGCTTTCTAACTTTATGATAGAAGTACCAAATGTAATAGACGCACATGTGAAAAACTTAAAAAACATTGCTAATAATATGATAAATGAGATAATTAGAATATTCTTTCCATAGTCTGTCAACAATAGGATAAATGATTATCCTAAAAATAACTTTTTTAAAAAAATTAATATCTTTAGTATTTGTCTTGCTTTTGTGTTTGAAAGGCAATGTGCTTTTCGCCTGTTAAAGCTTTAAACATTGTAACTTCATACTAAAAGCACACGGAGCCTAAGCGTCTAACCAAGGTTGTCATTGTCACAGAACCCTAAGCGCCGAAGAACCAATGGTTTACATTGTCACAGAACTCTAAGTGGCGAAGAACCAAGGCTGCCATTCTTACAAAACATTAAACACTCATACCGTCAAATTTCAACAACCAATAGATACTCATGGATGAAGACTTTCGTACTGGCTTTGCTTTTTCTCATTTTCAAATTTCCTTGTAGATTTCACAAAACTTGCAGTAAAAGAAATAGAAAAATTTTGGGGTGTGGATGCTAATCTTAGGAAGCTACACAGAACTCTCCTTAAGGTCCAGACGATGATTGACACTGTGGAGCATAGTTATTCAACCCCTTCCAGCATAATCAAGAAACCGTGGGATGTTTGGCTTGAAAAGACCACCATACTTTGCTATGATGTGGATGACCTCTTTGAAGATCTCTTGCTGGAATTAGATCTAAGAGAAGAAGATAAACGGGTGATACGTGATAAACTTCTTTCTAATTCTATGATAGACGTACCAAATGCAATAGACGCACATGTGGAAAACTTAGAAAATATTGCTAACAACGTTTTCAAGATTGAATGGGTTAAACTAGAAATGCCGAAATTGATTGGAAAGAAAAATTCTTATGCTCTTTTAAGTTCAGCACTAGATGAATCACTCATAATTGGGAGAGAGGATCAAAGGAGGAAAGCACTAGAAATGTTGTCTTCGGATGATGTATCTGTCATATAGGTAAGTGTCACATAGGCAAAACAGCACTTGCTCAAGTACTTTTCAATGACCAAAAGGTGGGTGGAATTTTAAGTGGAGGATATAGGTTTCTATATCCGTAGAATTTGACCTAATTAAAATTACAAAGTCAATACTTGAGTCTGCCTCCAACAAAAAATGCAAACTGATGGAATTGGAATTGCTATAGTCCAAACTTCTAGATCAACTCCGCCACAAGAAGTTTTTGTTGATATTAGATGATTTTTGGAGTAAAGAGTATGCAGATTGGGACAACTTGTGTGCACCTTTTAAGGTTGGTTATGAGGGTAGTAAAATCATACTAACGACCCGAAGTGCAAAAGTATCATCTGTTGTTGGAGCAAACTCATTGCACCTTTCAACTCTTTCTGACGAGGATTGTTGGAAAATAGTGAAACAAAAGGCATTTTTCAATACGCAATTGCATGGTGAAGATAATTTGGAAGAAATGAGATTGGATATAGCAAGGAAATGCAAGGGATTACCTTTGGCATCGAAAATACTTGGAGGTTGACTTCATGGTATACCTGATTAGGAGTGGGACTCGATATTAAAAAGTAAGTTGTCAGACTTGCCACAATATGAAAAAAAAATATACTCTCTGGTCTTTTGTTTAGCTATTATTCTCTACCACTAAACTTTGAAGAAATGCTTTGCGTATTGTTCATTATTTCCACTTGGTCATATGTTTGTAATGGATGATTTGGTATTGTTGGAGATGGTGGAAGGGTTGATTTAACCCGTAGGTGAAATGAGGTTAGAGGACATTGGGAGAGAAGATCTTGATATTCAAAAGAAATTGTATACGATGCATGAATTTATTCACAACATGGCACAACTTGTTTCATCTAATATATGTCATCAGATGGAAAATCAAAGCTCTTATCGCTTACTGGAAAGTATTCGTCACTTGTTCGTGTGTTGGGGAAATATGCAGTCAGTAGAACTAAAGAGGTTTTCATGTAAGAAATTGAAAACCTTTCTTTGGCCATGTGCAAGTGGTGTGGTTATTGGTCAGCAACTCTTTTCTTTGTTTGAGAAATTTACAATTATAAGAGTGTTGGACCTGAAAAACGGAGGCATTACTCAATTACCAGAGACAATTGTCTGCTTAAAGTATTTGCGGTATCCAAGGACGTCTCAACCAAATTTATGGCCTAAAGTCAAATTTTAATAATGGACTTTTTTTTTTGTCTATAGTGTAATTATCTTACAAAATATAGTATTAATATTTACGTTGGTTTCTTTTCTTTGCTCTTTATGCCTATAGTGTAGTTATCTTATAAAATATAATATTATATTTGCATTAGTAAGAAAATTCACATTAATAAGATATTAGAACGTATTTACAATGCATACCTTAGATCTTACTATAAAAATATTATTTACCAATATGAAGATTTGAGTATCTTATTCAAAAATTTAAAATATTTCTGTTGTTAAAAAATAGACAGTTTTTCTTTCTACTTTTATAAGGACTTTTTATTTTTTTCTATAAACTTCAATATTGTCTAAGTGAAAATAAGATAAAAAATCCACAACCAAAAATATTTTTGGGGCCAAAAAATTTAGGGTCCTAAAGCAATGGCTTTTCAATATTGTCTAGGGGCAATCACTTCACTAGTTTACCAGAAACAATAGCTATGCTTTCTTGCTTACAAACATTAGTGCTAAAAGATTGCCCATTGCTTGTTAAATTTCCAGAGAACTTCAAGAATTTGACCAGTCTTCGACATCTTGAGTTTGCTGTAAAAGGCCAACTTAGTAGAATGCCATTAGAACTCGGGAATTTGGTCAATTTTCAAACACTTTATACGTTTATTGTTCAAGTAGGTGAAGGATATGGCATTGAGGAGCTGAAGAACATGAAAAATCATGGAGGATCACTTTGCATCACAAAACTTGAAAATGTAGAGAATAAAGTGGTAGCTGAGAAGGCATTCTTGAAAAACTTGAGTTGGAATGGGGAAATGTTAGCAATAGGAATATGCAACGTGAGCTCTTAACTGGCCTTCAGCCTCATAAAAATTTAAAGGAGTTGATCATAACGAAGTACTCTACAATGCTGTTAAATGAGAGTTGAGATCAATTTGCCAACAATTCTTTTAAGTCTCTCACCAGAAGCTTAGACAAAATTTTGTAGAAGCTACCCACAAGGCTAATAGGCCAAAAGTCTTTAAGATCCCTCGCACCATTCTTCTTATTGAACAAAGCAATAAAAGAGGGCATTAAAGGTTTTCTCAAAGTATGCCCGATTAGTGCCTCTAAATATTTCTGATAGAAACCATGATAAAACCATCAAGGTGAGGGGATTTTCGCCCATTAAACTGAGTCTTTTGATATTGTTGTTAAATCATGCAGTTCATAGTGTTGTATGTTAGTGAGAAAAGGACTTGTGTAACTCATTGGCAATCGCTTGACTCCTGGTGGACTTGTGACTTTCGCCAAGGCAAGCTTTCAGTAGTAAGCCTCCAACTTTTTCTGTCCTATGGGAGGATAGCATAAGTGTAGCTCGCTTATCTTGTTCTCACCTGGAACTTGAGGGCAGTATTTTCAGCAACAGACTAATCGATCACTTAATCATTAAGCCTGATTTTGAATGGCTTGTGCATCCCTGCACTTTCTTTTGACAGAAAGTTAGCCTATTGCAGTAAGTTTTGATATTGGTAGCTATTTAGCTGTAAGTTTCCTGTAGAATTTTGAATTTAGCATGGTATCACACAATTTACAAAGTTTCATGTGCCAAATCCTTCAATGTGCAACAATAAATCTAGAACTAGTGTCAGTCTGAGGAATATTTTGAGAAATTTGAGTTTGAACTTAGTACAAACAGTCTTTGTTCGTATACCTCTCTTTGTGTTTTCTCTTAAAATTGTTCCTTCTATTTAGTCAATTAATATCAACTGATCTTCTTCTATTTAGTCAATTAATAACAACTGATCTTCTTCTATTTTGTCAATTAATAACAACTGATCTTCTTGTAGCCTATATTTTCAAAGTTTACTAAACCTGTTTTCGTGAAAGGAAGTCTGTTCAGGGTAGCTTTAGTTTGATTCTTAGTATAGAAGAAATGTACTACCAAATACAATATTAGAACAGCACGACTATCCTTTACTACTTCTGATTAATTGATCTACTAGCATCTAGTATAAAAGTGTTTCATTGTGTAAAAAAACAAATAAGCAATGAAGTTGCAGAATCTTTTTCTCTTACTGTATTCACAGTATTTGCATCTCTTTATACAAGTAATCTAGCTAAAAGAAAATGTAAAATAAAATGATACTATACACTTGTTTAATTCCTATTCCCTAATGCTATGACAGAAAAACTAATTTTATTCTCTCACATGTGCTCACATGTGCATCTTATGTGTAAAGTAGCTCCCTTTCATATTTTATTTATTCACATGTGCTTACATGCTCCTTCTTTACGGTTGTATTTGCATATCAATGTCACATATTAAAATGCCTCAAGAGTCAAATATAAAAAGAAGAGATAGGGACTTTTATCTAGAAAAGTACGAAGCCACATTTCTTTGTCTGAAGACTTTCTTCTTCTTTATTTCTAAACCCGATGAAATCCCTTTCTTCTTCTTTGTTTACATTTCATCTTCTTTCAAATTAATATGGCGTTTCATCTTAACATCCCCCTTCAAGTTGGAGGATGGAGAGAAAACCCCCAACTTGGGCAAAATCTGATTGTGAGAAACTCCTGTCAGATGTTTGGTGAAAAGATCGGCAAGCGGAAGCTTTGAGGGAACGAAAGAGAGAGTGATTAAACCTGAGAGATATTGTTGGCGGACAAAGTGGCAATCCAGTTCCACATGCTTAGTCCTTTCGTGGAAGACTGGGTTGCGAGCAATATAGATGGCCGCCTGACTGTCTGAGTGAATGGTGACTGGCAAAGTAGGAGGAGCGGAGAGATCAGCGAGGAGACGAACTAGCCAAGTTATCTACGCAGTGACACGCCGCATGGAGCGATACTCCATCTCAGCACACGACAATGAGATAGACATATATTTCTTCGATTTCCAAGAAATCGGTGCTCCACCTAGAGTAATGAAGAAGCCACTAACAGAACGGCAGTAATCCTTGCAAGCAGCCCATTCCGCATCGCATAAAGCAATCAAATCAAGAGAATGATTTGCAAAGAGAAGTATACCTTGTGCCGGATCGGAATGCAAATACTTCAAACACACGCAGCCCAACAGAAAAATGTGAAATTGAGGGCTTTTGCATGTACTGGCTAAGAGTGAGGACAGCAAAATAAATGTTTGGTAGGGTGTTGGTGAGATAATTAAGTTTACCAACACAACGATGATAGAGTATAATGTCATCCAACGGGGCCATCAATTCAGCATGCAATTTAGAGGAAGGATCGAGTGGAGAAGAAACAGCAACTCCTGAGCAACCAAATTCCTCTAACAGCTCTAAAGTAAACTTCCGCTGGTTGATAATGAAACCTTGTGGTTCTCTGATAATTTTTATTCCCAAGAAATAGTGAATGTCACCCAAGTTCTTGACTTTAAATTCTGAATTGAGAAAGTGAGTAATGTGGTCTATTTCTGCCATGTCATTGCCTGTTAATAGTATATCATCGACGTAAACTACTAGAATATAAATGAGATCTCCATTTTGTCTAAAAAATAAAGAATAGTCATTTAAGGATGTTAAATAACCCTTGAAGCTAAGAGCACCAACTAGTCTAGCATACCACTATCTAGAAGTCTACTTCAATCCATAGAGAGATTTCTTCAAAATACAAACTTAATTAGGCTTGGGTGGAGATAGACCAGCGGGAAACTTCATGTAGACCTCTTCCTATAACCCCATGCGAAAATGCATTATTAACATCAAGTTGAGACACATTCCAACCCTTCTTCACAGCCACTGTCAAGAGACATCTGATTGTGGTCATTTTAACCACAGGGGAGAATGTCTCAGAATAATTAATGCCTTTTCTTTGAATATCCCCCCTTACTACCAATCGTGCTTTTAATCTTTCAACATATCCATCTAATTTGTGCTTCACCTTGTAAACCCATTTGCAAGGTAAGGCTTTCTTCCCTTGTGGCAAGTTTACAACATCCCATATGTTGTTGAGTTCAAGAGCTGCTAGCTCTGCCTCCATAGCTTGCCTCCAGCCTACATCTTGAAAAGCTTGTGCATAACTGTGAGGTTCTGAGACAGAACATACTGACCTTAGAATATTCTGATTATTGAGTGATAAAGCTCCAAAAGATAGGGCAATGGGGTGAGAAGCGTGATTGAAATAAGAGGAAGTAATGTCAGAAAGAAAAATGTTATTGCATACATAGTCATTTAAATAACTAGGCTGCTGAGAAATTCGTTCAGATTTTCTGATAGGTAGTGGAGGTATAGGGATGGTGATACTAGAACTAGGAGCAGGTAAGAGAGAAGTGGAATTAGAAACTGGGGTTGAAGATGTTCTAAGATTGGGAACAATAGGTAAAAGAGGACCAGGAGAATTGTAATTGGGAGATGGAGAAGAGAAATCAAGTGACCTAGGAGAGGGAAGTGTGATGGGGTTTGTATCTGGAGGGGCAATGTTGTTAGGAATAGGCCAGGGTGAAGGAGATGATGAAGGATAGGAAGGAGATGAAAATATATAATTAGGTATTGTGTTGTCTGGGAGAGGTGCAGTTGGAGGAAACACCTGATAGCTTTGTGATGTAGGTGTGGTGACAAAAGGGAAATGGTTTTCATAGGACTTCACATCTCTAGAGACAAAGACAGTCTTTGTCTTCAATTCTAAAAGCCTATATCCTTTTTGATGTTGTGAATATCCTAGGAAGGCACAAGCCTGTACTCTAGGAGCAAATTTTTCTCTATTGTGAGCTAAAGTAGAAGCATAGCACAAACATCCAAAAACTTTGAGATTATCATACACAGGTGGTTTGCCAAATAGGATTTGATAGGGAGTCTTTCCTTTAAGTACGCTGGAAGGGAATCTGTTAACTAAGTAGGTTGCAGTCAAGATGCACTCACCCTAGTATTGGATAGGAACCTTGGATTGAAAGAATAAACCCTTTGCAACCTCTAGTAAATGCATATGCTTCCTCTCAATTATCACATTCTGTTGGGGTGTGCCCACGCAAGAAGTTTCATGTAAGATCCCCTGTGATAGAAGGAAATCAGATTGTTGTTATCTTTTTTCCAATTCCAAAGCATTATCAGATCTCACCTTCTTGACCTTAATGTTAAACTGTCTTTCTGTCATGACAAAAAATAATTTCAAAACTGTGAATGCATTTGCTTTTGAATTTAGCAGGAAAGTTCATATTCCTCTACTAAAATCATCTACAACAGTTAGAAAATACTTATAACCATTATAGATGTCAGACTTAAAAGGTCCTCAAATATCAATGTGTATAATATCAAATATGCCATGTGTCTTGATTTGACTTATGGGAAAAGGAAGTCTAGTTTGTTTAGCTTGATGACAAACATCACACACATAATCAAAAGAAGAGGGGAAAGAGATACAACTAAGAGTCTTCATTACTTCAAAAGGTAAATGGCCCAATCTAGCATGCTATTGGATTACATCAGAAATTGTACTCCTAGATATAGGTCCTAAACAAGAAACAGTATTGGAAACAAGACTGGAATAATTTCTTTTTGGAATTGAAAATTCATCATTACTAGAAGAAATAGATTCTTCACTAATAAAAACAGGTTTCAACAGGTACAAGCCTCCTCTTATTTCACCAAAAACTTGCCCCTTACCCACTAAAGGGACCCGCAAGACACACCCACTAGAAGTCAAATTAAGAGAACATTTGAACTGAACATATAACTTATGAATTGTTAGTAAGTTATATTTAAAAGATGGAACATAGAGGACTCTTTCAAGAATCGTGTTATTTTGAATAGAAATTCTTCCTATGTGTGTGACATATAATTAGAAAGAATTATGCAAGCTAATATGAACATGTATAGGAAGAGGAGATAATTCTAGAAAGGAACTTGAATAAAAACACATGTGTTCAGATGCCCCTAAATCAATGATCCAAGTTTTAATGTTAAAAGCTGCTAAACATGTTCCTGAATAATTAAGAATAGTACCAGCTACTACATTGGCATTACTTTTAGATCTTGCATTGCCTGTATTACCAACTTGAACATGTTTGATGATGTTAACTAGTTCTGAGATCTGTTCCCTGCTGAAAGACTGATTCTGACTTCCCACATCCCCTTCATTGCTAGGACTTGGGTTGATTTCATTATCTTGTCCTCCCATTACTGTATTCCCTTTTACTGCAGCTTGATAATTATTAGATTTGGTAAACTAAAAATCATTTGGAAAGCCAATTAGCCTATAACAATCTGCCCTAACATATCATGTTCTCATGCAATGAGTGCAGCTGGCATTGGGGTTATATTTGGCCTTCCTAGCTTTATTCTTTTGTTGATTATTTTTAAATTTTGATGAAGCACTCCATCCCCTTTGTCCTTGATTGTTGTACCTTTGTACACCCTTCCCTTGTGCACCTACTATGAATGAAGATGCATCTGAGTTATGTCGAGGACTCATAAGATTCACAAAAGCCTTTATTTGATTCTCATCTTGTAGAAGCAATGAATAGGCAAAATCCATGCTAGGCAATGGACTCATCATGAGAATGTTTCCTCTAGCCTGGGCATACACATCATTAAGTCCCATGAGGAACTAAAGGATCATTTGATCCTCTAAGAACTTAGCCACTTTAGTCTTTCCACCACACACACAGTCACAAGAGCAATTTAGATGAGAGCTTAGTGAATCCATTTCATCCCATAGTTTCTTGAGTGTAGTGAAGTAGCTTAAAACACTGTTATTTTCTTGAACTGATGCTAAAATTTCCTTTTGTAGCTGATAATAGTTTGGCCCCATTTGACTGGCCAAACCTGTGTGCTAAACTGTTCCATAGGTTCCTTGCCGTTTTGAATAGATAACACTGTCACCTATGCCCTTTGACAGTGAATTAAGCAACCATGAGGTAACCATATCATTAGCTCTATTCCATAGAGGATAATCTGCTGAGTCCAGCTTTGGTTCTATACAAGTGTCATCTTGGCTGAAAGAGCAATGAGAATGGATCTCCTCGGAAACCTCTGCCATCAAAATGTGCATTGACAAGGCTCATCCCAGGTGCATCTGAAGAATGAAGGAAGTAAGGGTGATTGGAGTCATGGTTCTTTGTTTGACTGGTCAAGCCAGTAACAGTGAGAACTGAGGAAGCTTCTATTCCAGTCATGGATGAAGATCAGATTAAAATAAGATATAGGATTTGACTAAGAATTGAAAGATCGAGCTAACCTTGCTCTGATACCATGTAAAAAAAATAAATAAGCAATGAAGTTGCAGAATCTTTTTCTTACTGTATTCACAGTATTTGCATCCCTTTATACAAGTAATCCAGCTAAAAGAAAATGTAAAATAAAATGATACTATACACTTGTTTAATTCCTATTCTCTAATGTTACGAAGGAAAAACTAATTTTATTCCATCACATGTACTCACATGTGCATCTTACCTGTAAAGTAGTTCCCTTCTATATTTTATTCATTCACATGTGCTCACATGCTCCTTCTTTACAGCTGTATTTGCATATCAATGTCACATATTAAAATGACTCAAGAGTCAAATATAAAAAGGAGAGATAGAGACTTTTATCTAGAAAAGTACGAAGCCACGTTTCTATATCTAAAGACTTTCTTCTTCTTCATTTCTAAATCCGATGAAATCCCCTTCTTCTTTGTTTCCATTTCAACTTCTTTCAAATTAATATGGGGTTTCATCTTAACACATTGTGCTACTGAAATTTTGGTGCTGTGGTGCGTACTTTTGTAGCTGTTATTGCTACGCTGGTGTATGAAATCATGATGCTGGTAATGTGGTGCACATTTCCTTTAGTTTCTGCTGGTGCATATTTCTTGCAGTTGTAAGTAGCAAAAGTCTGAAATTGTGGTGCTGTGGTGTTTTACTGTTGTAGCAGTAGAATTTTGCTGGTACAACATCAATAGTAACAACTGCTAAGATGAATTGTACATAAAAGTTTTCTGAAAGTAGCAAAAGTTGTAATAGCAGTAGCTATCATTTGTTAACAGTACAATCACTACTCTTTGCTGTAGCATTCTGCAGTTTACAAGTTGATTAGATTGCCTTTTTGATAAGTTCAATGCCCATGTCACCTTTTCTTTGTCATGCAACTACTATCTTGCAAATACAATGTCTTAATTTGGGAGGAAAGCTGGGAAGCTGCAACTGAGTTCTAAAAAACACACGACTGCATTGGTATGATTTCCAATTAGGGCTGCAATCCAACGTCTTAATTTGGGAGGAAATCTGGACGAGTTATTTTAGTCTGGTGGGTAGAATTGGTTTGGTCTTTTACCAAGTTTTGTTAGTTTTTGACCGAATCTGTTTGCACCAGAAATGCACTGGTTTAAACTTACAATGGAATATGAGATCAACTCTGCCCTAAATCCTGTCTCACGCCAATGTGAGGTGAGTGACAGATTTTTTAAACCTAAAATCTTCCGTAGGCCTCTTAATATTACGTGATAAGCTTAATAGTCTTCAACTTTTATTGTCATTTTCTATTAAGCAAGCATAAAGATATAGCTCACTGCTAAACTATAGTTCGGTCTCCAAATTGCATATCTCTACATATCTTTAACAATGTTTTTTCCCCTTCAAATATAACTTTCGGCTGATCATCATAGAGAAACTCTTGAAAGTATGAATTTGATCCATAATGAAGAGAGGATAAACCTTAAAATTAGTCAAAATTGTTGACTAATTTCAGCCTCTGTTGGGATCTAAACAGAAATTGTTAAGTAACCTATGTTGAGATCTGAACATGAGAAAACTGAATTTTAGACTGAATTGGGACCTGAAGAAGAGAAATAAATATTTCGTATTCTAATTAGAGGGAACAATTTCACTTTTATTGTTTAGATTTCTTCTCTAAAATTGCAAAGTATAAACAACTGAAGGCATGAAGAAGCTCAAATATTTCGTTGGTATTAGAACTCACCTTCCATGACATAAACTGAGTCAAGGGTAATATCTGGACAAGAAATATTCCTTTGCTATTCACTTTGCCCACCATATCTTAACACGTCCTAATTAAGTAGAAAATACAGATCACAATCTGCTCTTCTTTAGTAGATATATCCAACTTGTGGAGAACACCAAGTAATGCGTCCTTACTGAATTTCTTCTCAAAATAATTGCAAGCATACACATAGTCAAGAAGATTATACAGAAATTCTCCTAGCCCCTAGTCGAGCAAATTAAAAAAATAAAAACAAAAAATTCCAGACCTGTACAGTTCCATAAAATAAACTTCAGTCGTGCAATTTGAATTTTATATTTGATCAACTAGCCCTTTTTAAAAGTCTCGACACCATAAAATATTCCCACTACTCTTTAACCATTTATATCTCAGTTATCTAAATATTCTGTGTTCTAGTAGTTGACACATTGAAGCTATTATGGAGGAGACAACTTTACCAGGACACCTGTTTTACAAGACAAAAACTAACTAAACAACTGAACAAATTAAGTAAGTTGATGCATCTTCAATTAAATAATATCAATAAAAAAATTGTGTCATAGTATTGGCACCATGTCTGGGGACAGAAAAAGGCAAATCATTAAAAAACCCACATGATAATGAGATGCCTCATGTTTATCCCATAACTAAGAGGAATAATGAAAGTAATCAGCAGAACCTTTAGTTGGCCAAATGTGTAGCAGGTTTACAAGTTCCAAAATGATCCAACAGTGCAATCACATACTGATTTAATTAGGCCATTGCTTATCTGGTCTCCTCCTATGGTGTACTGCCTATAAATACCAACTCTCAAGCTTCAATTCCATCACAACTTTGAGAAATTCCTCATCAGAAAGAAAACCATAAGAAATGGCCGCTCTATCTTCAAAACCCAATCATGTTCGATCAATCAGTTTGCCTGGGAGATCACACCCTATCACCCAAAGAGTTGAAGAGGAGATAAACAAGCTCAAATCATTATCAGTTGCACCAACAGCAGACACTGTGTACAGTGGTCTATTCGGATTGGAAAAATTATACAAGTGCATAGATGATCTTTTCAACTTGCCACAAACCCTTTGCCAAAGTCTAGATGCTAAATTGATTGAAGATTTATTGGACAAATCCGTGAGGCTTCTTGATGTTTGTGGCACTACAAGGGAACTTGTCTCGCAATATAAAGAAAATGTAAGAGATCTTCAATCCTCCCTCAGGAGGAGAAAAGGAGATTCAACCACAGACGACAACGTTACCAGATTTAACTCTTTCAGCAAGAAGATCAAGAGGGATGCCAAAAGATTAGTCTTGACTTTGAAACAAATGGATCAAGAGACTGCAATATCAGTCTTGCTAGATGCAGATGAAGATACAATAGATGCGATTAGAGCATTAAGAGAAGCTAATGCAGTATGCATTTCAACTTTCCAAATGCTCTTGTCCTTCCTGTGTGTGCCACTTTTGAAGCCTAAGCAATCAAAATGGTCATTGCTTTCAAGATTGGTACAAAAAGACAGAATAGCACCTGAACTCCAAGAAGGAAACGCGAGCTTAGAAACCAGGCTGGGAACCTTCGGGGCGTACCTTGACAGCTTTGAAAAGGCACTGGAAGCTACATTTAGGTGCTTGATTAGATCTAGAAGCTCTCTCCTCAATGTTCTTTCTTGTTAATCTGGCAGTTGTTGTTCCATACTCTGTAAATTGTATATAAACAGTTTTGTAATTATATATATATAAATTTCAAGTGACAGATTATACACCATTTATTGCCTCTATCTCTCTCTCTCTCTCTCTGATAAAAATTTAAAAGGTTATGCCTGTGAGTTTCAGCGCAAAGAAAGCACTTAGCAGTATTTCTCCGTACCTGATATCAGGTTAAGTTTTTGTCTCAAATATCTCGATATCCGATGAAATGGTCCTCTTTAGACTAGATGGGGAAACAGATAAAACGCATAGCATATTCATTACATACTTTCTCTGCATAATTGGCTTCAAAGATCAAACTAATGAAGGGCAATAATCTGGATGAAAAGCTTCTTCCTTATGCTCCTTATCTACCATATTTTTAGCGTCACTGATAAATAAGAAATATAGCTTATGATCTGCTTATCTTACTTCATAGTCCAACTAGATATGGAGACATATGACAATCTTGATTTCATCCATCTTCCTTCTGAGATAATTGGAAGCAGTAGATCTAATCAAAAGGCTTATCCTATGGCCTTTTTCTTCTAGATCCTTAGCCAAATTCAACAAAGAAAACAAAATGAAGATCTAGCACAAGGATCTGGCACCAGATCAGCGGGCAAAGCAGCCAACCGACCATTCTTTCGAACATATAAATGGAGCAATTAACAATGCCACTTTGCTCGACTCAATATCAGTTTAGTATGAACGACTAAAGTGGCATTGCTCAGCAAGCATAATTGCATTGCTCCCAAAAGATCCTCTAGCAGTCCCTGAAAACAACAATATGTACGCTCCCCAAAAATAGATTTGAAGTGTGGATAGAACTCTTTTGAGGCTCAGCTGACAACTTCGAATATAGTTTGGAAGGAACATAGGTGCCTGATTACATTGCAGAGTTCTCTCCTAAAGATCTTCTCATGCTAATCGGGAAACTTCTATTGCACTGATCTGAAGTTGGCTAGACATTTTTCACATATATAATGTCATGGGCACGGCGTCCCTGGGTAGCTTCTAAATGTGTAGTGCCATGGACAGGCCCACCAGACTTGCTTAGCCAACTAAGTGTGCCCCTGCCTATGTCAGAGATCTTCAATCCTCTATCAGACGGAGAAAAGGAGATCACTTAAGTACAGAAACCAGCTTTACCGGATCACCTCCTTCAGCAAGAAGATTGAGGAGCCAAAAGTTATTCCTGGTCTTAACTCTTAAATATGGATGAATATATTGAGGAATCAGAATTCCAAGATTCAGATATTGACGCTACACATGATTAGAGTACTAAGGGAAGCCAACTTAGTATGCATTTCAATTTTGCAAATGCTCTTTTTACTTCTTATCTGTCCAAGTTTTGAAGTCAAACTCGTCTAAATAGCACTGGTTTTGAGATTGGTGCATAAGCGAAGAAAAGCATGTGAAAGTCGAGCAGATAACATTAACTTTGAAACTAGGTTGGAATCCTTCGATGGTCACCTTGAGAGTTTTAACGATGGATTAGAAGGAGCATTTAGGTGCCTGATTGGATTGAGGAGCTCTCTCCTGAATGTATTCTCTCCTTGTAGCTCAATATGCATTCTCATGCGTTCCTTCCCCTGCGTACTTAAAAATAAGATATCTCGGAAAGAATGTGAAACTCATGGATTGTACCTTATAAAAGTTTGCTAGTAAAAAATGTATAGGAAAACAACTATGCGTTCAATAATTTAGTAAACATTAAACAAGCACAGCATAACCAGCCATACATAGATGCACAAAATTAAATATTTTTATTTCCAATACATTCGTGTATCAATTATTGATTTAATTAAAAATTGCTTTTTCAGTGAAGCGTCCTGAAGAAGCCACCTACCGCTGGACTAATTAAAAGGATGAACATCATAGCCATATCTCGGGCATCTTTAACCAAGTCAAGAAGAAGGAGTTCTTAGCTGTAATCTTCCGGATGGAGCCAAGGAAAATAGCAGGATATGAATGTACCGACATATATTAATTAGTTTTGCCCACCATTTATTGGAAGCATTACATCTCGTCCAGGAGTTTATACAAATATGCTTCCAACCCCTTGCCAACCAAATCCAAAAGAAAAAATCCCATACGTGTACAACTCCATAAGATAAACTTCAGTCGTGCATTTTGAATTTTATAGTTGATCTACTAGCCCTCTGAGATCTTGACACCTTAAAATATTCCCATTATTCTGTCATTATTTACATTTCAATTATCTAAATATTATGTATTCTAGTAGCTGATGGATTTAAGCCTTTATGGAGGAGACAGCCTTACCTGGCCACCTATTACATGACAGAGACTAAATAAACAACTGAACAAATAAAGTAGGCTTCTTGAAGTTGATGCATCTTCAATCAAATAATATCAATAAAAGTTTTTTGTCATAGTATTGGCACCATTTCTGGAGACAGAAAAAGGCAAATCATGTAAACACTTACATGATAATTATATGCCTCGTGTTCATCTTATAACTACGAGGATTAATGAAAGTAATCAGTACAACCTTTTGTTGGCCAAATGTGTAGCAGGTTTACAAGTTCCAAAAAGATCCAGCTGTGCAATCACATGCTGATTTAATTAGGCCATTGCTCATCTTGTCTCCTCCCATGGTTGTTTTCCTATAAATACCAACTCCTAAAATTAAATTCCATCAAAACTTTGTGAAATCCCCTAATCTGAAAGAAAACCATAAGAAATGGCTTCACTTTCTTCAAAATCCAATCACGTTCGATCAATCAGTTTGCCTGGGAGATCACACCCTACCTGTAATGGATCCATATTTACTGAAGAAGATAGAGACAATTTCTATTAGTTCCAACCATGAACAATACTAAGAACAAGGATCTAAAATAAAAGGAAAACAAGAATGGAGGGAGGTTCCAGAATGCTCCAACAAGAGCTAAGCCAAAATAAAGAAAAGACTCAGTATTCACATACTCTACTCCCTACACCCTCCTGCTATTTATAAGCCTTGTATTCTTTTCAGCTCACCAGCCTTGTCTCAGCCTGGATCCCACATCACACGTTGGGTTTTCCTCAATTCAGCAACTGGCCCAAATATCTTAGCTTCTAACCCAATAACATAATCAGTAATGGGTATTCATAACAATACCCCCACCGTCAATAAGAACCTTGTCCTCAAGGTTCGGCTCATGAACAATGTTAGTAGCAAACCTGCTACCAATTTTCTCCATACCAAAGTATTCTCTAAGGCTAAAGAACAAGATGAGACTCTGCATATTTGCTACAGTAACAAATGCTGCTTTTGAAACTTTAGAAAGATAGAGCTCCATTGCAAATGATATGCGGGCACCATCAAATTCATGTCCCACCAAAATCACCTTCTCTCCATCAGCAAGCATTCCAAGAAAAGCAATGGGTGGCTTTGCATACTGCGGTAGACTGGTGATGCTATTTGTGTCAAAAGAATGAATGCTTACACCAGTTACATCCACTGTAGTCACCTTAAATCCAGCCTCCGCTAACAGTGCAATGGTTCCAGGCGGTAAATCCACCATCATGGACAAGGACAAAATATATTTTTGATAAACCATCAATTGTTAATTCGTTGGTTGCCTCTTCTACGTAATTATATTTTTGGATAACATCACTGAATGCAACCAAATTGTGAGTGAGAATGCAGTACAGACTTCCACTATCCATAGAGTCAACATGTAAGGCGGATAAAAGTATCTTCAGAACTGCCTCAACAAAGGATATACACACTGAATTTCCACACCTCAACACTAGTATAACTAGTTTTAAAGAAGCTTTGATGACTGCTATAAGGAGACTCTCTTGCACACCAAGTGGTGTCACCTTTTCTACGAGACCACCAAATGTATAATGCTTTGCCATGACGCCTGGTATATGAATATGAAGCTTTATCCTTTCAACCTGTATGGTCTCAATAATATGCGCCATTTCGGCAATGTCATAAGAGTGATCCTTGGAATCTATCATTTTAAGGGAAGTGAAGGCATTTGGCTTTATGTTTTCTTTATCCACTAGCAGAAAAATATTTGCAGACTGTATTTTATTAAACTGGTTATATAGAGAGAGCAACTGACTGCAAGCAAAACATGTAGCTGGAAATCCAAGGTCACTCATTTTGTTAACCATATTCGCAGATTTTTTTATGGCACCTTTAGAAACATTTTTGTCCAAACCATAAGCAGTAGCAGCGGCTATAGGCTTAGTGATAACTTGCACGACATTGAAACCAACAGTAGCACCAGCAATCTCGGTAGCCTGACACTGAATTTCCTTCATCTCTGTAAGCACCATAAATAAGATTTCTTCAGCAGCAAAATACTTCTCTCCAAGATAGATCAACTGAGTAGCCCCTTGTTTGCTTGAGTCTTTGGCATATTTAGCTATCAAATATTTGTTATTATGTAATGTGCAAGAGCTAACAACATATTTTATTGGAAATATGGTTGAATCTCTCGAGTCTAAAAAGTTAACTAGCACGAGCATCAAAATTGCAAGTAAATCTGCCAACCCAATCCAACATTTGCAAAATAGTGCAGGCTCCATTTTTTTGGTAGAAATTCTGTCATCAACAACATCTCTTCAAGAAGTGTAGCAGTAGTATAGCCTGGTGGCTTGTCAATTTCCGTAACCAAACTTTCCAGACCAAATCCAATCTCGACAATGTGATATGCCTTTCTAATTCTTGACTTTTCAACAAAAAGAGAATGCGCATACAGTTGTACAACTTTCAAGTCGTCATCTGCACTCTTGATTATTGCACATGAGTATGACACTGTCACGTCCAAAAAGAATGAGAATATGCAAATAGCGGTATGTCCAACACAAGCTACTGTTGCACCTTTGTCGATAACCCAGGATCAAATGGGAAATGAAGTAACATATGTGGAGCAGCCACATATTCAGAGGTTAGACTATACTTATACGCTACACGACTGTCAGGCATTTCATCGAACAGTGAGGAAACAACTCCAAATTTCTCAAGGTCTGGGAAAATAAAGCCAATGGACAAAGCTTCGTGCCGCTCGAATTCTGATTTTGTATCCCCAGTAACAATCACAAGTGGCTGTGAATCAAGAGTTTCCGTCACGAAACCTGCTTCCGCTGTTTTGTTATCCAAATCAGAGTTCAACTCAGTGGATGTATCTTTAATATTCGCAGATTCAACAGACGAAGTGGTAGCAATTGTAGAGTGCTCAAACTCCAATGTGTCGGGCCTTTGTTTGGGCTGTGGAGCAACAAACACCTTGGAGAGGCGGTGAGGCATTTCGTCGAACACCAGTTCTGCAGTCATGTCTGAGTAGACATGCGCTGAAACTGCAACTTTCATATTAGTCTCTTCATCTGTTAGTTCAGCAAATAGAATGGAGTCGCAACTCATGTCTGGTAAGAGGGATTGATCTGGAACTGGAGGCGGAAAAGTAGGGCTTGGGGGTGGAAGGGGAGTCGGAGGGTATGGAGGAGATGAAAAGGAAGCCACCCAATTGGTAGAGGAGGGACAATGAAAGCACCAATGTGATGGATCCATATTTACTGAAGAAGATAGAGAATTTCTATTAGTTCCAACCATGAACAATACTAAGAACAAGGATGTAAAATAAAAGGAAAATAAGAATGGAGGGAGGTTACAGAATGCTCCAACAAGAGCTAAGCCAAAATAAAGAAAAGACTCAGTATTCACATACTCTACTCCCTACACCCTCCTGCTATTTATAAGCCTTGTATTCTTTTTAGCTCACCAGCCTTATCTCAACCTGGATCCCACATCACACGTTGGGTTTTCCTCAATTCAGCAACTGGCCCAAATATCTTAGCTTCTAACCCAATAACATAATCAGTAATGGGCCTATTCATAACACTACCATCCAGAGAGTTGAAGAGGAGCTAAACAAGCTCAAATCATTGGAAGTATTTGTTGCACCAACAACAGTGAGCAATGGTCTAAAAGGTTTGGAGAAATTGTACAAGTGCATAGATGATCTTCTCAACTTGCCTCAAACCCTTCATGCCCTCTCCCAAAGTCTACATGCAAAATGGGTTGAAGATCTATTGGATAAATCAATGAGGCTTCTTGATCTGTGTGGCACTACAAGGGAACTTGTATCACAATGCAAAGAAAATGTAAGAGATCTCCAATCCTCCCTCAGGAGGAGAAAAGGAGATTCAACCACAGATGACAACGTTACCAGATTTTACTCTTTCAGCAAGAAGATCAAGAGGAATGCCAAAAGATTAGTATTGACCTTGAAACAAATGGATCAAGACACTACAGTATCTGTTTTGCTAGATGCAGATCAAGATACAATAGCTGTGATTAGAGCACTAAAAGAAGCTAATGCAGAATGCATTTCAACTTTCCAAATGCTCTTGTCCTTCTTGTGCGTACCGCTTTTGAAGCCTAAGGAATCTAAATGGTCACTGCTTTCAAGATTGGTAAACAAAGAAAGAATAGCATCACTAGTCTTAGCAGAAAAGATGAGCTTAGAAACCAGGCTCGAAAGCTTTGAGACTTATCTTGTCAGCTTCGAAGATGGATTGGAAGTAACATTTATGTTAGGATCGGGAATCCGGGTAGTGCGAAATTTAGCCAAACAACGGTATAATGACAATAACAAAGACAATGGAAGTTGATAACAACGGCAATTAAAGCAGATAAAGAAGACACCGATTTAACGTGGTTCGGTCAGTGCGACCTACGTCCACAAGCGGAGAGGAGAAATTTTACTATAATAATAAGAGTACAAAATTAGAGTAAACACTCTAATTAATCCCAAATACCCTAAGAGAATAACCTCACAAGATCACTCCAAAGAAAGGGTTCACACAAGTGCTTCCCAACACTAACTCTCATACAAAACACTCTTAATAAAGAAGGAAAGGAAGAAACAAGAAATGAAGACTCAAGTCTTGTTGGTGTGTCTAAAATGAACTAATGGCCTTCCCTTTTATAGGCAAAAAAGTCTTGGCCTCTTAGGTGTAAAAGAAGAGATACAACTTGTGCAAATGATGTCCACCACACAATGCAATATTTTTGGGTCTCAAAGAATATTGCCAACAAAGTCTACACTTTGCAAAGATGCTTATGCTTATGCGAGATGAACTCCATTAACCAAAATATTGGCCATAATTACAAATTTTCACCTTGGCCTAATTTTGGATGATATAGTAAATTTGCTCCACCCTCTCCGCAAAAGCCCCAATGGGCATATGTCAAAATTTAATGCCATCAAAATCACACAAATTGTCTGATACCGAAACTGTAGTAGGACCTATAACAGTGGAGCCCAATAAAGTATACAACGAACCAGATCTATGTGCTTTCATGATCACAAGAGCACCTTGAAAGAATTTTAGAACTCCACCTTCACTAGTGAATTTGCACCCAATGGATTCTAAAGTGCCCAAAGAGATGAGATTTTTCTTCAACTCATGAACATATCTAACATCGGTGAGAGTTCTCACCACACCATCGTGCATTCTGATCTGAATTGTACCTTTGTCAATAACGTTACAAGTAACATTGTTACCCAGTTGGACAACTCCACCTGCAACTAAATCATATGTAGAAAACAAGTTCTTGCTATGACACATATGATATGAACAACCGGAATCTAAAATTCACTCATTGTCTAATCTAAAATTAGTTTCAGTTGCTAAAAATATAGTTCCCTCAATCTCATCACTTGCTACACTATCTTCGGCGGTGTCAGTATTTTTGTGCTCATTTTTTCTTTCTTTATGCTTTTCTTTATTTTTCAGTTTATAGAATTCAGAGATAATATGACATTTCTTATGACAATAGCGACACTCTAAATTATTATATCTGAATATGGAGTCGGATTTTCCCCTAACAAACAAGCCAACTTTCGCTTGAGTTCCACTAGCTTCCCCAGTAATATCACTATCTATCTGTTCTTTTGATTTTAAGATAGATTTAATATCCTTATAAGAGATATTATCATTTGCATAAAGTATAGTATCTTTTATATGCTTAAAAGATGGGGTAGAGAACAAAGCAGTAACACGGCTTGATCCTCATCTTTAATTGCAGCATCTATATTACTCAAATCCATAAGAATGGAATCAAAAGTGTCAAGATGAGAGAGAATAGAGGTACCTTCACACATACGAATTGTATAAAGTTTCTGCTTCAGATAAAGTCTATTTTCCACCGTCCTCTTCATATATAAGATTTCCAATTTTTTCCATATGCCTTTGGTTGTGGTTTCTACAGAAACTTCACGTAAAACCTCATTTGAGAGATTTAAAATGATACCTGCTTTTGCC